TATGTCTGGGTATCCTGTAGTGCTCCTAGGAGGCCAGAAGAGGGCGTCAGGTTGCCCGGCGCTGGAGTTAGAGATGGTTGTGAATCACCCTGTGGGAGCCGGGAATTGAACCTGCGTCCTCTGGAAGAGCAGTCGTTGCTCTTGTCTGCATTTTTAAAAAGTCCTGTCACTTTCTGCAGGTTAAGACCTGGTTCCAAAACCAAAGAATGAAATGTAAGCGATGGCAGAAAAGTCAGTGGCAGAAGAGCAACGGTGTGACTCAGGTAACAGGACACTTCACAGACTTCCCTTTGCTGCCCCCATCCTATTTCGCATGTGTCTGCATCATCTGGGTGTGGCCCATCTGTGGGTGCTGGGGAGCTGGCAGCGGAGCCCAGGTTCCCTGGACAAATAGTCAGTGGTTCTGAACCTCTGGCTGCTTTTCAGTCCCATCCTGTTAACTGTGTTCCATCTGTGTTCCATCAGTCTCATGCCTCCCATCCCTCTCTCCCCCTTCAAGTCCCCTGACCACCCCCCCACCCCCGTTTTTTGAGGCAGGGTTTCTCTGTGTAGCTTTGGAGCCTTTCCTGGAACTCACTCTGTAGATCAGGCTGGCCTTGAACTCACAGAGATCCTCCTGCCTCTGGCTCCCAGTGCTGGGATTAAAGGCGTGCGCCACAACGCCCAGCCCAAGAGCTCTTTCTTGTGATCTTTTTTATTTTTTGAGATAGGGTCTCATGTAGCCCTGACAGTCAGGGATCCTCCTGCCTCTGTCTCTGGAGTGCTGGGATTAGAGGCATGTACCACCATAGTGATCTTTTTCATATTTCTTCAGCTTTCGACTTTAGATTTCCTTTTTTACTCATTGAGTTAACCACCTCTTTTAGAAGGGCTCTGCGTTTGTGGAGTATCCCAGCCTCCATTCCAGCTATCCCCAGGGCTGTCTGAACACATCTGGAAGCCCTTCAGTGTGGGACAACCAGACTTTGACCGATACTTGGAGCTACCAGACCTGGACCAACCCAACTAGCAGTAACCAGACCTGGACCAACTCAGCTTGCAGCAACCAGGCCTTGACCAGCCTAGCTTGGAGCAATCAGGCCTTGACCGACCCAGATTGGAGCACCCAGGTCTGGAACACTCAGTCTTTGTATTCTCAAGCCTGGAATGGTCAGGCTTGGAACACTCCTTTCCATAACTTTGGAGATGACTCTCTGCAGCCTTACATGCAGTATCAGCAAACCTTCTCTGCCGGTGATGTGGGGGCGAGTTTGGCAGCCACTGGGGGAAGCCACGTGTATTTTAGCACCCCACCAGGCTTGTAATTACTCCTGAACGTCTGAACACTTGGAGTGGGGGAGGGGGGCGGTGGGGGTGGGGGTGAGCAAGGAGTGGACAGATGATTCAGTTTAAAGTCAGGGCAGTGGCTGGATTTCTTCTTTTAAAGATTTTTGGTCTTTCAAGACAGGGTTTCAGGACTGGAGAGATGGCTCATGGGTTAAGAGTCTTGGCTGACCTTCCAGAGGTCCCGAGTTCGATTCCCAAC